AAACAAAAAAAAAAAAAAAATTCTGTACGGGACTCGCCGATTCACTGTTCGGACTTGCCGATTCCGTACAGTGAATCGGCGATTCACTGTACAGAATCGTCCGGTTCTCTCTAGAACCGAACGATTTCCGATTTTTTAGGTGATCCGGTCCCTTTTCACGATTTCCGAGTCGAACGGGCGAGTCCGGATCGAGTCGACGTTTTTTAAAACACTGGTTAAATCTATATTGTTCCAAAATTTCATGGCCGAAACCAAATTTGAAACCTAAAAACCTGAGTCCCTCTCTATTGAGTATATTACTCCTTCATTGACATCTCTAATTTCTTGCACGTTTAGGGCTGGCAACAAGAAGGACCGGGCCAGTCCTTGCCCTAGCTTGACCCTTTTTCCCTTGGGGTTATCCCAACCTAGACCCCACCAAAGAGGCCCTGGCCTTGGGCTGCTAGTGCAAGGCGGCCGGGCTAAATAAAATTAAAAAATAATATAAAATAAAAAGATAAAGAAACAAGGCCAGGTCGAATCATACCATCCCTATCTTGGCCATGGCCTAAGCCCGGTCCGGCCATCGGGTTATGGTGGCCCGGCCTTCAAGCAAAATTTTGTGGCCCACTAGTCTTTTAGGGCTGGGCTGCCATGCCTATTGCCACCCCTAAGCAAGTCTAGCAAATTCGGCTGCCACCTAAAATTGGAAAAAGTTTATATAAGTGCAAAGCTCTAAACAATCAAATTAGGGCGCACATAAAAAATTTCACTGGAAGAGGTTGTTTTGACATCCAAATATCCTCAAATTAATCATGTCGACCTCAAGATGTATGTACATGAGAAAGAAATAGATTTCAAGTTGTAATGCGTCTTGTAATGCATTTTTTAACGGTCAATTTTCGAGATTTTCAAGTTTTCATAATTCTGCTCAATCTATACTATTTTTTAATCTTTAAATTTTATTATTTGAAAAAAATATATATTTTAAAGCTATCACAAAGATTTCCAGTATTGAAACCACATTTCTCGACACTATTTGAAACTGCATTTTACTTTCATTGTTTAGAGCCTCGGCTTTATACAACCGCACCCCCTTACAATTTCAGATTAAATTCGAAATTTCACACCTCTAACTTAGTCTTCAAAGTCCTCTCTTGCATGGACACAAAGACACTACCACTCTTACTAAAAATCTCTAATTTCTCGGTATAAATTTTATAAAATTCAGCTACACCTCATACTCCAACAAATAACTGAAATTTGGAAACTCCACTCTTCGCTCTTGAGGGCCTCTCTCTCTCCCCTCTAAAAAGTCTCTCTCTCCTCCCTCTCTCTTCTCTCTATAGCCTTCTCTACGCCTCTCACTCTTCCCTCTAAGACTCTCTGTCTCTCTTCCCTCCTTTCTCTCTTTCTTCCCTCTCAAGACTTTCTCCTCTAAAGATTATCTTTTTCTCTCTCTAAATTGTATATAGCAGTGATTTAAAAAACTTCAACTCAGCACAGAATTGCCCAGTCTCACTTAAGAATTAGTCACCATGTGTCAATCCTGTCAATATATAAAAATCGACTTGGTTTAGAAGGGAACCAACGATTTGCAACAGTAAAATGACATTTTG